CATTTAAATTTTTGTAGAAATTTAAAACAAAGGGAAAATTGATATGGGGCATAAAATTTTATTTTTTATAGTAGGTTATCAGTCCAAAAAAAATTGGGCCCCAAAATAAAAAGCCCCCTCATTATTTTCCTAGACAATTCCCAAAAAAAGTAAAATTCAATTTTTAGTAAAACAATTTTTTAAAAAAATTCCCAATCAAAAATTTTTAAAACCCAAACCTTAATGCATGCATAAAATTTAAAGAAAAAAAAAAATCCCCCCTTCAAAAAAAAAAATTCAATTTTTATAGTTTACAAAATTTAAAAATTTAAAAAAACTTTAAAAAAAGTATTTTTCCCCCATTCTAAAAAGGCCCAAATAAATGAGAAAAAATAAAAGGGAAATAGTGGTGACATTAGGCCCAAATATGTCATATACTTTGGGTTTCCCCAAAACCAAAATTTTCCCCGGTTTCCCCCAAACAGTTTTCTTTGGGCCCTTTAAAACCCTTTTTGGGCCCGTACAGTCCCCTTTTTAAAAGGTAAAAAGGGATCCCATTTTTCACCAATAGGGGGAGAAAATTTTTTTTTCTAATGCTAAACAGCAAATTTAAAAAAGTAAACGATTTTTTAAAAGGTTTTAAAAATTTTGCCCCGTTATTTTTTAAAATTACATAAGAGGGAAATTTGGGGACCCTTTAAAAATTTTGCAACAAACCCGGGGAAAATTTTAGTTTTTAAAAATCCATGCCCCAATAATTAAAGACCCCATTTAAGGTAAAAATTTAATACTTTTTGGGAAAAAATTTTTTTTCAAAACGACCCCGGAAAAGGTTTTGAAAGTTCTTTTTTGTCTGATAAAACCATCTAAAAATTTTCTTTTTGGTACTGAATTTTATTTAAAATAAAAAAGGTTTTCCCGGAAAAAATTTCTAAGAAATTTTTAATAAAATGAAAAAAAGGTGTTTCATTCAGGCCTAAAATTCAAATTAAAAAAAAAAAATGAAAAATTTAAACATGAAACAAAATGGGAAGGGTGGACAGGTACCCTTTAAATTTTTTCCCTGGGCAAAAGGGGTTTTTTTACCCCTCCCTAGAAATGATTTTTATTTTATTTGTTAAAAAAGTGCGATTTGTGGACCCGGGTAAAATGCTAGGAAAACCCGTAGGCCCTTCCCAAACATTTGAAAAAACAAATTTAAAAACCCGTTTAAATTTTCAACAAAATAAAGGAAAAACCCACATTTTCCCCCCTGTTAAAAAATTGATGAAAAAGTTTATAAAAATCTCCTCTGCTTTTTTTAAACCTTTTTTCTAAATATATGTATATAACATCCAAAATTTAAAAAATTTTTAAAAATTTTTTTTTTTTTTTTTTAATTTTTTTAAAAAATTATTTTTAAAAAGTTTTTGTTTTTGGTTTAAAATTAAAATTTTATGAAATAATTTTTTTTTTGTTTTTAAAATTTTTTCATAAAAAATTTTTGGGGGTTTTATTCACACCTAAAAATGTGGGCTTCCCCCTTATTTGCGGGGTGAACAAACCCAAACCCGTTTATGTTACCACAAGGCCTTATTTTAAAGGGCCCTGCCAAAAAAACCTGTGATGAATTTTTAACCCATTTTAAACAAATTTTTAAAATCTTTAAAAAAATCCCTTTAACCCCTTAATAACCCCCCAAAGAGGCCCCAAAAAAGAAAGAATTCTAAACACACAGTTTAAATTTCCCGGCCCTTTTTTTCACGGCAAGGGAATTTTAAAAACTCTTCTCTAAAGCTTTAAAGTTTTTGGGGAAAAATTTGAAGATTTAAAAAAATTCTATAAATTTATTTTCAATACATTTTAGTTTTAAAAATTTTCCATTTAAATGTAAAAGGGGCTGCAATCAATTTTTTAAGTCAAGAAAAAACCCAAAAAAATAATTTTGTTTTGGTACTAACATCACAAACAAAATACAGATGACTCATTCAAGTGTACAGATGTACCATTCTGTCCCTTTATAGATACACAATCCTTGTTTGGTTAATCCAGGACCTGATAGTACTTGGACCATGTTGTGACTTATGTATTGACTTAAGATATATTTGTGAAATTCATAGGAGTGAGAGGCAAGAAGTTTGAAGTTGGCACCTTAAACACTCAAGCAAACCAAAAGAAGATTAGAGATTGTGTAAGTCCAGTATAGGTATACATATGACTAAATATTATATAAGAGGTAAAAAGTACATATGTAACTGTATTATGTTTCATGTAGCCATAGAATTAGTGAAAAACAATACAATTACACGAACACAGAGGAAGAGAGCAACAAAGTACTGAAAGAAAGGAACTTCTAGTTATACCAACATAATAACTATAGTAGAAACAAAACAAATCCTGCAATAACAAAAACATGATACTAAATGACTTAAAGTTAAACCAGTATTAATATACCAGTTTCAACTTTGTTGGAAAGAGGCAACTCAACCCTCAATTTTGCTTGTTTGCATGACAGTGACCTTTTTCTCCAGCCCTGTGCACTGATTCAATCTTGGCAAATGAATACGCCCCTCCATAATATCATTAGCAATAACAGTTAATAAGATCAAAGTTACATGTTTTTCTTATGTGGGGCATTTTTCTCTCTTCATTATGATTGCTTAGGTCCTCATTCACCTACTGTGGGTGACATATTGCAAGATTTTCAAAGGTATAACAATATTTGATGCAGCCTATGCTATCTAAGCAGAGGAGTTATGACTGATGATCAGTCTCACCTAACATTTTTGCTAGCTACCCCTCGTCGGGTGGCTGTAACCCTTGAGGTGCTCGCCCCTCCACGACCTTTACCCCTGTAGAGTGCAAAATTAACACCAAATATTACAAACTTAAAATGCTAAGTTTTAAAGTAACATTACATATTACTTAATATAAGGTATTTATATTAAATTCAGGGAATAGACATGTATCATGAACCAATCGCTTTGATAAAAACAACACACAACCTTCTAAGTTTTTTCCAAGTTATAATGATCATATGGCTAAGCATATAGACTGTACATCATTACATCAAAGCTTATCAATCTATATAAATGCTATATCGTGTAACATGCCATTCTTTATGCTCCAGAATACACTTGCATAAATGTCTGAAATTCACATTAACTTTCCTCCTTGAAGCGTATCATGTCAAGCAAAAGATATGTTTGAAGGATAATTGTAGCACTTCCTGCTAGCCATTTCCAGAAATAGCTTGTCTTCCAATATTTATATAACACAAAAAAAAAACTTGCATATAACCGAACATCATATTTTATCTACTTGTAAAGGAAATGCAGACATGCTAAAAGAACACTGCTTTGTTGTTGTTTTTTTAACCTACCATAGAGTTATAACAAATAAACAGCTTTTAGGATATTTGATTTACCTGACTTTTTGTGAGACAGATCTTTTATTATAGGATTTGTAACTTTTAGTGTAATCATCTTCACTGTCGGAAAAATCTTCTTCGTCAGAGGAGTTTTTCTTTTTTGGACGACCCACAGACCGTACCTGTTGCTTACTGGGACGTCCCGGTCTCCCTGGCCTTCCCCTCTTTGACCTGAAATTTATATAAAATGTTTCACTGAAAAATGGTTTTTTTAGTGTGATTGAAGCTATAATTCATTTACCTGTAGTCAGAACAATTAACATTATATTTCAAGACTATTTTATATCACAAAATATACATATCATTTTCCTATAACAAGAAAATATATTGCAAACTAGAAATGTGTCATCATGCCACGGATGCCCCCGCATGCAGCCAAAATTTCAGATGTTATAATATTTAGTTCCAAATTTGTTTGCACAAATTATTGTTTTCATTTTAAGTTCAAAGCCCTTAAAACTTTTCAATGTTAACACAAACCATTTTCATACAATGTTCAAAGCACTGAAATTATTCAGTCTTAACTTTTTGAAAATAGCATATTTCATATTTGTAGCCAAAATAATGGCTACATACATTTCCACAAAAAGTATGAGTTTCTGAATCTGAAAGTTTCAAAATTTTTTCCAATATTCAAGAAAGATTAGTTTGTCCAAAATCATTGAACCACAACCAAATTCAAACTTAAACTGCCTATTCCTAAGATGTATCTATATTATTTTCAAAGTGAAAGGGACATAACTCTGCCAAAAAATCATCGAACCATGACCAAATTCCAACTTGACCTGCCCATTCATTTGACATATCCATATGTCAAATTTTAGTTGAATATGTAACACTGTTGGGTAGATAATGAACAGAAACTGTAAATTTCATATTTTTTTCGGAGTGAAAAGGGCATTACTCTGCCAAAAATTATTGAACCATGACCAAATTCGAACTTGACCTTGGCATTCCAAAAAAAATATCCATATGTCAAATTTGAGTTGAATGTGTTGTACCGTTGGGGAGATAATGAACGGAAACTGAAAATTTCATATTATTTTCAAAGTAAAAGGGGCATAACTCTGCCAAAAATCGTTGAACCATGACCAAATTCAACTTGACCTGTATTTTCTCATGACATATCCATATGTCAAATTTGAGTTGAATGTGTTGTACCGTTGGGGAGATAATGAACGGAAACTGAAAAAATTTCATATTATTTTCAAAGTAAAAGGGGCATAACTCTGCCAAAAATCATCGAACCATGACAAATTCGAACTTGACCTGTATTTTCTCATGACATATCCATATGTCAAATTTGAGTTGAAATATGTGCAACGGTTACTAAGATAATGAACGGAAACTGATGATGACGGAATGACAGAATGACGGAAGGACGGAATGACGGAAGGACGGAAGGACGGAATGACGGAAGGACGGAACAGGGTAACACTATATGCCCCGGCCATTACATGGCGGGGGCATAATAAAATTTTAAACAAGATTGCATTTGAGAAAAATGCTATGCCACCGCATGGTTCAAATTTCATAGCTGTACATCAAAGGACAAGAAAGTAGGTCACATCATCAAATATAGGTCACCTGATATCAAAGTTCAATTTTACAACTAAAACTGTGCTCATGGTCAAAATGTCATTGCTGTTCATCAAAGGACAAGGAAGTAGGTCACTGTCCCCTTGCGCAAGGCATTATTTTGACCCAAGGATTTTATTCAAAACAATCTTGATACAGGTCCACCAAACAACATTTCAAGTCAAATATCTAAGCTGTAGCTTTCTCCCATTCAGAAAACATTTGTTTTATTTTCTGTTTTTACTATGTGTATAATGAGAATCACTGCCCCCGGGCAGGGCCAATTTTGACACCAGCCGAAAAAATTTGAACAACTTTGGTGTAGAGGACCTATAAATGATATTATATATCAAACATCAAAGCTCTATGCCTTGTACCTTCAGACAAAAATATTTTTTTACTTTTTCACTATATGTACATAATGAAAATCAATGACCCCCGGGGCGGGACCAATTTTGACCCCAGGGCTATAATTTGAACAATCTTGCAAGAGGTTCACTACGCAATGTTTCATGCAAAACATCTTAACTCTAGCCTTTGTAAATTTAGAAGATGATTTTTTAAGTTTTTACTATATACATATAAGGAATACCTATGGCCCCAGGGGGCGGGGCTAATTTGGACACTAGGACAAAATTTGAATAACTTTTGTAGAGTACCTTTAGATGATATTATTTAAAAAATATTAAAGCTCTAAGCCTTGTCCCTTCAGACAATAAGATTTTTTTTTATTTTTAACTATATGTATATATTGAAATCAATGACCCCCAGGGCGGGGCCAATTTTGTGCCCAGGGCTATAATTTGAACAATCTGGGTAGAGGTCTACCAGACAATGCCTTATGCAAAATATCTAAGCTCTAGGCCTTTTGGGTCTTTACAAGAAGGTATTTTAAGTTTTTACTATATGTACATAGTGAAAATCAATGACCCCCAGGGCAGGGCATATTTTGACCCCAGGGCTATAATTTGAACAATGCCTTATGCAAAATATCTAAGCTCTAGGCCTTTTGGGTCTTTACAAGAAGATTTTTTAAATTTATTCTTATAATTCTTTTTGGTTGCCATGGCAACCAGATTTCTGCATGGAATGAAATTCTTTGAACAACTTTGGAAGCCCTTCACCCAAGGAACAATCCTGCCAAGTTTGGTTGAAATTGGACTAGTGGTTTTTCACAAGAAGATTTTTTAAGTTCACTATATTATCTATATAACACACACACACACACACAAACACACACACAGGTGAATCGCTATATGCCACCGCATCGCAGATGCTGCGGTGGCATAAAAATCTGTTAATCAAAATTAAAAAAAAGAAGCATGCTTAGGATTTTGAAATGAAATAAAATCTGGCATCATTCATATTGGTAACATTGTATCATAACTAGTCAACTTTAGCAAAAATGAGATCATGTCTCGTCACAAAACAGTTTTTGAAATAGGAATATAACTTACCTGGTAGGTGGCTGCCTTCGAGGTTTAAATCTTTCAGTAGAACTTGCTGAACTATCACTACTACTATCACTGTTCCATTCCCCAGAACTGGAACAATATAACAATATAATTTATTCTCATTACATTGGTACTAACAGTTTGTCTTATTGATCGCTAGTAAAGTAATTTCAAAACACATTTTGTGTTCAGAATTGAATTAAAATTTCATATTTGAGCTTGATGGCAAGGTCATTAACAGATCAAGGTCATACAGACTCATACTTGAAATTTTAACAAGTCAATGTTCTTGGTCATTATAACTGCTTTTTTTAAATTATGAATCAAATCTTTCATATCAATAACAAAGTTATGGCAATTAGAGCAAAATTCACCAACTTAAAAATCAACAACATTAGCAACATCAATGTCAACAACAACATAAGAGCAACAGCTCAAACTTTTTTTGAAAAAAAAAACCACTAACAAGCTAACAACTTTAATATGAGCTCAGGTTGTTTTATTTTAAAAAGTGAACATTTTGGAGTGTTTCACTGCAAATCAATCAGCAAATCATGGAAATAGTCTTAGCACCATCTACTACAAATTAAAGTTTTCACCTACTTTTTTCTATGACTATTTGTTCTTTTTCGTCTTCGTTTTGGTTCTTCGTCACTATCACTCTGTAATAACAAAGTTTCAGCTCACACTATTTCTAACTCTAATCAAATCACTTAGAGACTTAAAGGTGTTTTATATATAATTTAAATTGATAACAAATCTTTGATTTTACTAATAATGGATGTATAATAACTTGTATTGTTATATATTAACATATTCTTAAAAGCTTATTAATATTTATCAAAGCTAGTTAATTTTTGGAAGCTCTTGATCTAAATCTCCACAAGTAACTTCTACAAAAATGCAACTGTTGTATCACTATTTGGAATTTTCACTTTATCTGTGAATGGCACAATTTTCAGAAAACAAGCTTCAACATACCCCAATGTTGTATCTTGTAGGTTCCTGACGTGCTCTACTAGATCGTCTTACACCATACAAATCGGGATCTTCTTGCCAAAACTGTAAATAAAGATAATCTCTCCTATTTTACCCACTGCTTTTACATGTGTATCCATTCAAATTAATTCCATGCAGCCAATCAGGTTTCAACAAAGCAGGTCTCCATATTTAGTTAAGCCGAGTCAGAATGCTAATTACCCACTTATCAAAATTCCATCAATGAGACAACTTGTTTCTATTAATCAATGGACGTTAAGAGAGAGAGGCAACAAGATTTCCAGCAGCTAAACAGAAATACATTTGTCTGTTTCCCTTGTGCTCTAACAGTCTCCAGCCATTTCAGATAAAAAAAAATAAAACATTTAATTTCCTGTCAGCTGCTGTTAATATAAAATGAATTTCAAGGAAACTTTAATATTTTACTCTTTTTTTTGCCCTGTTTAACCACATAAACCCAGATATTACATTTGTGAATAACAAAATCAGAAGCAGTTTAAAAGAAATCTATATTTCTTCTTTCAATTCAATACACAAGTCTCCAATTGAAATTAATAAAATTTAATTTGTATTCATATTATTCACCATTTAGTTCAAAACATTAACATTCAGTATTTTTAAAAACCAGAAATATTATTTGCAATAACAGATGCTCCCTAATGCCACATTGACACAGGTTAAACATTGACACAGGTAAAAACATGGTCAACATAGAGACAAATAGTGGAATATCTTAGCCTCACCAAGTCACTCAGTGTACTCTATCTGATTCAACAATGTAGTTCCATATGCAAAGAAACCTGTATACCTGTAGTTATCTATCGAAAAACCATTTTTCTATTTTTGGTATCAATGAACCTGGCCTTATGGGGGCTCAAAAGCAAGACACAGTGAAGTTTCCATATAAGCTTGCTTATACAAAGTTTGATTATAATATCTAGATCTAGTTATCAACCAAAAACAACCTGTTTTGACTTTTGCCCAAATGCCCACCATTTGCCAATCCAATAACCAGGATTTTCAATCAAAATCCTGGTTACAAAAAAACATGAAGCATAAGAAAGATAAGAATACATTCATGCCACAACACACTAAACATACAACAGTACAGCACAAACCTAAGACAACATTAATCAGATCAGGGCCTTTTCCTGCTATTTTGGGAAAATTTGAAGAAAAAAATATGAAAAGTTAAAAAAAGATTTTATTTATAACTTGTAAGTTTTTTAACATGTTATAATATATCATATAGATATAATAAACCCTTCCCAGATTCAAGTGAAAACAGTTTTGTTTTTTTCCAGAAGTTAAAATAGTTTGACATTTTTGGTCTGCTGTTGGGAATTGTTTTTACAAAATGGGAAAAAAGGCTCTTTTTGATTGGGAATGGGGCCTTATTTCGCACCCTGTTGATAGGGTGAAAATTCCTTGACTATGTTACTTTCGAGACAAACTTGTAGACAAACTTGTAAAAGAAAACTTGAATATGTAGCTACTGTATGCCTTAATCATCTCTAATATCCTGCAAAGAACAACAGATGGGGGGTTGGGGGAGACTTTTACTTAATAGCTTGATAAAACATTCACATAATACTAGTAATAATGTATTTTTCTTTATTTTGTACTGTAGGAGACATTGAACATTACTAGATTAAATTGAATCAAAGTGATAGACAACATGGTGAAGAAGAAAAGATCTTACACAGAACTAGTTACAACAAATATTCATTTTGGTTCAAATAAAAATATCAAGAAAAAGCAGCTTAAAATACAACATAATTTTAACAGACAAAAATCTGTTTATAAACAATACTAGTAACATATGTAACCCAGTCCATGTTCAAAGAGCTAAAAAAAAGCTGACTGTCTCCAGTATTAAGTATTCATGAAAGTTGCCTATCAGTATGCAAGTAATTCATATGGTGGTGTCAGTTAGGCTAAGGCAAACACTTTACATCAACAACAGAAATTAATGTGACAACATGGAAAGTAATTAAAATTCTAAAAGCAAACAGAGTTTGTTTTAAACATTTCAAGAATACCACATTACCAGTTTTATATGAACCCAATTACCTAAAAATCAATGGGACCATCTACTAAACATGATAACTGCAACAACATCTTGGCACTGTAAGCTTTCTGGATTTATTGGTCAAACAAGCTTGTAATGTTAAAGGCCATGGTAACCTTGACTTTAACCCCTTGACCTTAATCCACAAAGGCGCTATCAACTAATCATGACTTACCCACAAACAAAATCTAATCATTGTATGTCTCAGTGTTCTATAGTTATTAGCTGGACAAGCTTTCAGTGCGTAAGACCAGTGACCAAAATCTTTGATCTAATAATCTCAAATTTAATTCTTACAAAAAAAACTGAATTCTAACTAGGGAGAGGTGATGTATGTACATACTGACCAACTGACCTACCCCATCACAGTATTCGCCCACATTTTTAAGTTGAGGCATGGAACACAGAAATTCCAGGATTTCTTTCTTTTTTTGTTGTTGTTTGTTTTTTGGTTCCTTTTTTTTTAGGAGAGCGGGGTTGTAGTCTATCTTTACTAAAAAATTATTTTTTAGTAGCTCTTGGAAAATATATTACCAAAGAATAATACAGAATGAGTGATATTATCAGATGTTGATTAACTTACATTTAATGTCTAGATTTCCTAAATTGACATATGATATTAATCAAATTCATATGACTTTATTAGCATTTATTGCACTATTATGTTAATGATTTTGTATAATTATTTATGGGTAAAAAAATATACTGTTATGGTTAAGGTACAACTTTCAAAACCACAAACTGCATCCCATCATACACTGTAGCCTCGATATATCGCTCTCTGTTATAACGCTAATCTCAGTATAGAGCTCATAAACCTTGGCTACCCAAAAAAAAAAAAAAAAAAAAAAAAAAAAAAAAAACTCCCCCAAAAAATTAAGTAGATCTAGATTTATAGCGCGCTTTAAAGCTTGTTCAATTTGACAGTCAAGTACAATAAACAATTGTAATTAGGACATCTATGAGTGCCAAAGGTGTGAAAAACATGTCCAGGTTAGTGTTTATCCGCTCTTTTGTTTTACCTGTCCATCAGTCAGGAATCAAATTGCTTCTAAAATCTCAAATTCATATCATAACTGTGACATTGGCAACCAGTGGTGAGTATAAATAAACTAAAATTCACACACATATCGGTGACATGTAAACCTCGCTGAATTTAATAACCCACACAATCCCAAAATCAATTTAAAATCCTGCACTGTAAATAGAACAGCCTAGACAGGAAGTCAATGGCGTTTGATTAACTAGGGGACACAACTAAAGCTGGACTGTAATGGCTAACTGTTTACACTACATTCATGATTTATGTTTTTCTTTCTAAAGTTTTTTGTTTCTTTTAAATATAATTAGTATTATTTGTGAATATAATATATGTTTACATCATTGAATTGTTTTAGAAAAAGATAATGTCGATATTCATTGAACAGTAAGCGTTATATGTATAGGCGGTGGGTGGGGTAATGCGGTAATTTCGCAATGAGCGTTCTACTGAGAGCCTCGTTAGAACGCAGTGTTTAGACATTGGACCCCAACATGAGCGTTATAATGAGGCTCTAGGGTATAATGGCAACATGGAAGAACTACCATCCTTATGTTAGCTGGCTGATAGCTTCCATGCATAAAAAATTTAAGTTTCCAAAAAATTTAAACTTATAGCAAGAAAACCATTTAATTTGATGAGTTTCGACTGCATGTCTAAACTACAAAAAACCAATGTAACTGTTCTGCTTCCATAATCTAGTTCATAAACTCTCTACAAGTCAATGTAATTACTAAGGGAAAAACTGAACGGTTAAACGTATGCCTTTCATGATTATCTGTAACAGAGTTTTTCACTTCTTTCAAGACATAAATGCCTTTTTTCATTCTTTTTTTCCTGCCAGATGGACACCAGTGAAAGGTTAATCTAATTCTCTCACTGCAGCAAAAATCTAAAATTTAATTTATCAAATTAGACAGATATGTCCCTTTTTATATTGTACAAACATAATACACATCTATTTCATCTATTTAAAGGACTACTTATTTATCTGTTTTATAAATAACATTCAACATATTTTGGTGTTTGAATATAATTATATAATTAACTAGGATTTTCTTCTCTTTTAAAACAAAAAAATTCTGTACCAGGAAGTCATTTTTTTCTTCAAAAACACTAGGAAAAAAGCAAACAAATAAAATTCTGTGACCTCTAATGTTACCATAATCCAGCACACTGATCAAAAAGATGTGCTCAAATTACAGAATTTATGCTAGGTGCACACAAACCTACTCACTGAAATGTTTAAGTTATTTCAGCCAAAAAAAAAACATTCTCAGCAAAGCCTAGTTAATACTCAAGTGCCGGAAAAAAAAGGAAGGGCAAAAATAAAGAAAGAACTTAACCTTGGAATCTTTCGACAAGCTCCTTCCAAACAAATCTCTTTCCTACAATGTCAAAAAGTTAGGTTGGTGTTTTTATCCATACATATATATCTATGAAGGGGTCGGAAAATATTTTGTTCTGTTTGCTTCACATAAAGGAATTTGACCCAATGTCTGAACTGAACATTGAAACATGTACCTTTAAGTAAAACAAAAAGAATAAAATAGTATCCTGCCCCAAAATTGTTTACTTTATAAAAAGATGTAACTAAACTTACATGTCTAATCAATTTACTGATTTCTAAGCAAGATTATAGCCTTGTTCCTATTTTCATTCAAGAAAAACCATCAACATGTAATAATAACAACATTTTCTCATTAAAATTTTTTTAACTTTTTTTAACAGTCAACATTTTAAAACAGTTTATTATAAATATACCCCTGAAACCAAACACAAAAATCACCAACAGTTTTACTGTTTAAAAAAAAAAGAAGAAAAATAAAAGAAAAGAATGCAAAATAAAATTAAAATTCACATGTAAATCATAAATGTCAAACATATTGACACAGAATGTCATTCTGGGAAGATCACAAAAAAATAAAATGTTTTTACACCTGCATGGTATGTAAAAACAACACCCAGTTACAGCAGCACTATATTCTTACTTCTAAAAATCAATACACTAAAACTAAGAAGCATGTGATTGTTCACAAGTGAAAGCATTTTTCACATTAAATATATATATATAGATATAAAATTTAAGCAAGTTCCCTCATAATAAATACACAATCTATTACATACCTCTTTTAGATCATTAATGACACCTTTCCTTGGACGACCACGGGATTTCTTTTTCGGGCTACTATCCTGGGAATCTGTGTCCATGGCACTAATAGGATGATCTGATTTACTGTCATTTTTATGTCTGTCATCTTCATTATTTGATGAGTCATTGAAGCCGCTACCAGATTTTTCTTCACTACCAGAGTTTTCCGAACCATCTCCAGAATTTCCTGATGCTGATTCCGAATCTGATTCTGAACCAGAGCCACTACAAAATAATTGTAGATAACATTTAACTTTGACTTTGTTTTAGTTGCATTCTGATACACTTTAATTTTAAGTGAATAGCATTATGTTTTAAAGACTCAAATCATAAGTAATGAATTAAATTAAAGATGTAATACATTTTCTACGCTCTTTTATGAAAATTATTTTCAACTAAACTACAATTAATTATTTATTTTCAAGCTCTATCATATCAAATTTTCTTAATTAATCAATGAAAAAAAATCAAATTCAGATTCAAGTTGTCAATATAATATAAACAACATGACCCTGCAAGTCTTTTGTCATAACTGAAAAAAACTATGTCCCGCTGTTGTTTATTACCTGGAATTATTTGAGCCAGAACCGGATTCAGAATCCTCCGATTTATCATTGTCATCGCCGTCATCATTCTTCAACTTCCTCTTCGGTGGTGTGTATTTATAGTTTTCATCAGTCTGGTAGTCCGTTGACGGTAATGACGATGTTGTAGTGGTCAGATCAAACAACGGCTTGTTAAAATCAAGTTGTGTAATGTCTAAGTTGTCTATTGTCTGAAAATAGAGAACAAATCAGTACAGTTGTGATGATAAGTTGAAGTATCAAAAGTCAAAGGATTGCCTTTAGGGTCAATGTCAGAGTGTAAACATCTAAAGTTCAAATAAAAACTAAGTACCTATGTATGGGAGCCCAAAAGAAAAGGATAATAAATGCATTATAAATTTTAAAAGAAATAATTTTCCAAACAAAAGTGAATAACATTTTATCAAAAACAGAAACAAAGACAAAAACAAGATCTTCAAGGGACAAGACATTAGAAAATCACTTTTTGAAGCCTAAACATAACCTAAGTCTTCTTCAGTCTATACAAATATAAACAAATTCAAAACAAGACAAAGTACAATTAAAAGCATTCAAAAACCTTCAATTTCAAGTTTGAACCATAGCAGACCTTTAAGTTCAATCATACACAACAAACATTTCAAATTCTACGAAAAAAATCTTAATTCAACAGCCAGCATTGTAATTCCAAATTTTAACATGGTTTTAATCCTGATTAGTCTGCTGAAGAAAAATATGAAAATCTATTTTTAGCCTGTGACCTAGACCAAAGCAACCTTTTTGGTTTTATTTATTTATTCTATATTGGGGGATGGTGGAGGTGGTGGAGGTTATGTCACACCAACCAACATAGTATTGATCATATGGTGAATTTCCACCTTTACTGGTGGACTGGTGGAGGAAGACCTCACGTGCTCTTCTGTGCATTATTTCAGACAGGAACTGGCACCTGAGCAAAACTTATTATGTTCCTTAAGCTAGCTGGATAGCTTCTTCACATGAAAGAATCCAATGTCAGGATTCAAACCCACAGCAGTGAGGGGCAAGTCAATAACCTGAACACCTTGATCACAAACACTTCCCAAATCCACCAAAGGTTGATGTCTTTTACAGGTACCAACTGATGAACACCTGTAAACCACATTGTGTGAGTCCACAAATGGAAAGGGTATTTGAAACTGTGTGGTCAAATGACAGGGAGGCCAACCCAGCATCAATATAATCTGGCAAAATCTTTTCGTTTCACAAAAAATAGAGCAAAAACAGAGATGTTCCCAAGTCAAAGCAATGTTTTCATGTGACAAAACATAAGTAATCCAATTAAGTCCAAAATAAACTTTAAGAAATATTTTTAGGAACAAGCAGAACAAAATAAACTTAATACCTAAGACTGTCTTATGTAAAACTTAAGATAACAACCTAAAATATGTACAAGGATAAGTAAGGGGAAAAGCCAGAAAATACAAGTCTATAAGCTTCTGGCATGACTCATAAATTAACAATTTTAAAAGAAGTGGAACTGATGTACAGAGACCTTTAAAGAAAATAAAATGCTAGAAATGTAATGCAAAAAGTGAAAAAAAATTTGCTCAATGCAAACAAATACCATTTGGTTTGATGAGCAATTGAGGAAAAAAGAGGTAAGTAGTAAAGAAATCTTTTGGATTAAACATACATCACAAAGAAACCAAAAAAGGGTTAAAATTAAAGAAATATAAATACACAAGTGATTATCAACTCAGAAACATGAATTTTTGTAACAAACTAATGAAGGAGTTTACTACAAGTCACAACAGTCTAATAGAACAACCTCAAACTGCCTGCTGAATAACTAGACAACCTTATTAAATACTTAACAACCAATGAAAAAAGTCAATTAACATAATATGACATGTGAAATCTGTCATGAGTTGCTATTCACAAATACACAATATCAAAGTGTAAAGCAGAAGAGCCACACCAGTTTCTAAGGTCACCCCAGATTGCACAAGCACTGGTAAAGAATTTTTTCCATCAAGTGTTACAGAGAGTTTTTAACTTTTAATCTTCTGAACCTGTGTAATAGAATAAGATTTGCCCTGCTTTCCAATTTGGAACAGTCCATTTATTTTAAGTCAAAGAGAAATTTGAGCTATTTGGAATAGTCTATCCAAAGTCAAAGCGAAACTTGAGCTATCAAAAGAATAGAGTCTGAACAGACTGCAAAGATGTGGCCTGGCTCCATAATGTCCACTGGTTTTACCAGGCAAAGGCCTAAGGGTTAAAAGATCTAAGAATATATAAATAATTCCAATACAGACCAAATTGAAGACCTATCTCAAACACAAAACTTTTAAATATTAACTTTCACACACAAATAGAAACACTTAATAACAAGAAATGGCTATATTAAAACAAAATTCACTATTTCTAGGATAATCAATTTTAACAAGTTGACAAATCTGGATTGATGGATGGATGAATGTCCATCTTTCAACTTAAATGTGCAAGGGTATAGAAATAGCACAAAAAGGTAGGTAAAACTAATAGCAAACAATGATATTGACCTTTCTTATAGAACTAAATGCAACTAATTTCCAACAAATGAAAAACAACAACAACAAACCATGCCTAACTAATCCATCAATACTTGAACACTTTCAGGGGCAGGCACATACCGTATCTTAATATTTCCACAATAGTGGCTTCATTTTAACATAATATAACAACATAATTATTACAAAATAACTTTCATGACTACAAAATTTGAAACTCAAAGTGTAAAGAAAACACAGATGAGCACTTACATCATCTAGTTTTCAGTATATACAACCAAGATCATATTGCCACTATGCATAGTGGAAAACCCAGGTTTCCCTCTGAATTATTTCAGAGAAAAGAGCAAGCAGGTTGGGCAACTGAAGCTTCTATGTATTTCAATAAAACAATGATCTAAAGCAATCACATTTACTCAAAATACGTAATATAACAAGTCAAACAGTTGAGACACATACATAATTTCAAATATTTCAATGAATTATGTTCATTTTGAATATTAAATTAGCAGGTCCACAAGTATCCAATCAAACCAGTTGTTGATATAAGTAGCCAAATAACTGAAAATAGCTTGATAATCACCCTAAATCAAGCTGGCTTCATTCAGTGTTAAGTTGAATAATTAAATATTGCACAAAGTACAGTATGTCACTAGACTGGATTCAAATACCTTCCTTGTATACTATTTTTCTTGTATACATCATGCAACATATCTCAGGTAACCTCATTCGAACCAAATTTTGAAAGTAAAGCTTTGTACCTCTTAAAAAGATGTTACAATGCCCTAAAGTAGAGTCAGACACTAATATTATTCAACATTCTAAATAATTTGTTTCTACTGAAAAGTTTAATTTTCTTTCAATTTCTTCTACATCAAAATTTTATGACTATTTCACAGCCCTGCTTCTTCAAAATACTCCGATCATTATCAAGAAATATTCCCAATCCCAAAAATCAAATTGTTTCAATAGGATTGCCTCCCTTTATACATCAATATTAGTGCTATTTTATGAAGATTTTCTAAGTAAAAACATCCTGTTCTGGACAGATCATGTGCCAACAATGTAAGGATGCACATAAAAGACCATATACTTTGCATAGGACAAGCCTGTAGAGATAAAAACTTAAATACCCTAATAAATACCAAGTGCGACTATTTATGTAAAATTTGTCAGATTAAAATATTTACATCGTGTTACATAGAAATGGCTTCTCCAGCATACATTCTGCAAATAATGCTTTGATACTAGAAGTAAGGCATTAAACATACAGTACAGACAATACTGTGTAAAGCAACACATTCTGAAACATGTGTACATGATCTTATTGGAGTTTTACCACAAAGTTAAACAAAATTATCACATATCAAAATATCATGTAGAATCATAGTAATTTGCCTTTTTCTACAGCATACATGATGACATTAACACGTCTGTTATCCATTTAAAGGCCTATTTGCATAAACACACAAATTCAACATCTAACAGGGAGACCACGTCAAAACTATAATTCCGAGTCCCGAGAAAGTTCTATGTTAAAATTTACAGCAAAATCAGTCAAAAAGCCCATAAATTTAATGCTTGATTTTTGAGCTATGGAAACACATGCCACCCCTTGCTCACAATGAACATATTGTTATGAATACCAATGAAAGCAAACATCAATTTTCAAGAATTTCCATCTTTTTCATAATAAACAACCAAATCAGAAGCAAAATTTCTAAGTCCAAAAGTAAGCTAAAATTGCTAAAATGGGTCCCATTCAAAATAACTTAAAAATAGACTCAAAATGTAGCACAGTGTTTGAAGATAAAAATCTGTAAATATTAGCTTGGTACAACCTGCAGAACTGCTCAAAATTTCTAAAAATGTAAAGCAAGGGGTGTGTTGATTTTATTCCTGACAAATGCAGAAAAATGAGGGGTATACTTAAAAAACTTAAGTTTTTCCAACTATGAAACAAGATAACTAAGTAAATTTACACTCATAATGTAAAACAGACCCTAGGCAACAAATAAAACAACGGTTTAAATATGTGTCCACTTAGATATGGATGTTATTTGACGGTAAACTTTTCATGAAATTTTTCGTTTCTGAAAATCAAGATGGCTGCCCAAGGTCGAAAGCACATGCTATTAAAATTGTATTTACAATTCTATTAACATTATTTCGGTTTTTAAAGATTCAGCAAACATATCTTGAACCAATTTTACAAAGCAATTTATTAAAATTATAAAAGCAAATGCAGAAATCGAGCAAAAAATTGAGTGCAAACCTTGCTCATTTTCCTTCGTCTGAATTCATCATGGCGGATTTCGAAGGTTTCTTGTCTGAAAGATGGAGTCTGATCACGTGTGCCAAAATTCTGCAGACGTCACACAGTCTTTCTATAACATTAAAATGCTGGAAAAAGAACTAAAATGTTTGAAAATGGAATATTTAAACCTTTTTAAGACAATACCATCGTTGATTTTCAAATCAACACTAAAAATGATACAACGCGGAGTACTTAAGGCCGAACAATTCAAAAGACAACAATCAAAGTGCATTCTAAGACAAATAAACAATTTCGTAATATTTAACAGATCAAAATGACTTAAGTAGATGCAAAAATACCCACCAGAATGCGCAAAAACTTTCAAAAAGTTTAAAATACTATCGCGTTCATGAGAAACGATCAACAACAAATATGGCGGCCATTTGCAATAAAATATTCACTGATGAATTCTGGGATAACAAAAGAGGGCTGTTCAAAATGTGCATACTTCAATCAGCTATCTTAATCTGGTTCCCAGCGTACTCTGCAAGAGTACCGATATTGAAATGGTAAGGGCAGGTAACCCAGGCTATCAGCTATCTACGAGCAAACTATTTATTTTAGCGATGTTTTAGAATAAAACAAATGATTATGGATGATATATCTCTTGTAGCTCTACCGTTTAACTAATTATTATTTTTTATATAAAAATGAAGTATATCTTGAACTATTTGATCGTATGAAACCCATATTGTAAAGAACTGCTGATGTTTTAGTGCTTTCTTTATTTTAACAAGTTTTCTCCTTTAACATTGGCGATGTGAAATAGAGAGGTCATTATAATAATTAATAATTTATATTGATGAGCACAATACTGGTCGGATCTATTGAGCTGCTAAACCTATATTTGCGTAAAACTCGGTTGGTCGCATTATGTACGAGTGGGATCCGGAATGACATTGCTGACATACGGATACTGTTACGTACCATGTGGTTGAATATGCAATTTAATTTAAGGTGCACTGTACATGTATTTATAAACGAAGCCACTGTACCTTTTTTTGCGAGCCTATACAATTAAATATGTACTCGTCTTGCGATTATAAACATATCTCACTTCCGTTCACTGTACCTTTCTTGGGAGCTTGAACCTTTCTTGCAATTTAACAGGAAGTGGACTTGTTAAACTGTAAAAAGGGTATTTGATCTATGCTGTATATTTAGCTGATAACGTAAAGTAGTGGGCGAATAAAAACCACGACATCAGCATGCAGACAAGCAAGTTATCAATCACTCCATTCAGTAACAATTGTCAAGAATGTTACATTACGACATTGGCTTTGTTTGTTTCCCCTCTTGTTTACTAGCGCAATGGCGATAACGCAACACTTAGCTGAATGCTGGAGTAGCCTCTCTTTAACATTATAACTGAAAAAAAGAGGAATTTAAATTTTAAAATATATGAAGTTGTTCATGTATTTAAAGAGTTTTACCACTTTATATGTTTGTATTTTTGTCAATACTGAAGTTATGTATATTGCTTAACTTTATTACTTATTATTTGTTAATTAATAATTAAATCAGTTATATAACGTACCGTGCACACTTGGGCGTTCAAAATGTATGCCTTCAAGTTTAAACGATAGAAGAAATTGAGGAAGTTTTTTTTTTCGCTTTATATAAAAAGCAGACACAAACCTATTCAAACGAAAATTTAGCATATACATGTATATATTAACCCCATAGCAATTATATATTTGCCTGTCTATGTTGCCTCCTTTTTAGCTTACCTAAGCAGAAAATGCACAAGGTGAACTTTTGTGGGCGTATATCGCCCTTCAGTGAGTCCGTCGTCAACATTTTTTTCAAACTACCCCTTCCCAGGAGCCACTGATGAAATTTTCCTAGGATGTTCCTCTAATATTTTTTCAAAT